GTAATATTTTTTCCTACCTTCTAATTTCTCTATACTCATTTCAGCTTTTCTTGTATAATGTTTTTGCATCATAAGATGGTACGCTTTGTTTTTCTTTTCATTAATTATTTCACATTCTTTGTCTTGCTAGTCAATATGCTTTGTTCTTCTTTTTTTCCCTTCTTCTCTTTAGATATATATATATATATATCTATTATTAACAAACATGTATATATGTAAAAAAGGCAATTTTAAAGTTAAAATAACGTGCAAAATAAAAGAATTATTTTCGAACTAATCTACAAGATCATTTAAATTCAGATAGCATAATAAATCAAGGCAAAAAACAAACATGAAAAAAATTCACCAATTAGCAATTAAAATTAATCTAAAAATTTTTTTAAAAAAATGCATAAGTGAATGACTGTTGAGCAGGCAGAGACAGACTTATCAAGGGAGGGTTGCCTCCTAACCTAACTCTTCAATCATTCAATTTCATGTTTCGTCATTCATGCAAGCAGGGTAAAAGTCAAACCCAAAAGAGTAGTGAAGAATGTACAAAAAGAAATACAAACTAAGGGGTACCTTGAGTAATTAGCAATTAAAGTTAAAGGTCCAAAGGAAAATACCAATATGAAGTATTTTGAGAAATAAGCAATTTAAAGTTTAGTATTAAATTAAACTTTTTTTTAAAAAATTAAATTTCCAGAAAATTAATTAGAAACCAATGCATTTAGAAACCCTTGTTTACAGAAACCTCCCCGACACGAATATGCATATTAATCAAAAAGAAACTAAAAAGGAACTAGACAAATTAATATAAACTAATAAATAACTAAAAAGAACTAATTCATAATTTATAAAAAACGAATATATACTTAAAAATAATTACGTATCTAGAAAATACTTAAATACTACATAAAAAATACTAAAAAGCAAGTAAATAGTATGTTTTAATACTAACTTACCTACCATATAAGCGTTGGGGTCTGCAAAAGTATTTCCTAAGTGATGTAAGTGTGTTCTGCAAATTTATAGATGGCGCTAATGTAAGTAAAGTTAAGTGCCAAGCTGCTATCTTTAATATTAAAATATTTAAATAATATAAATTTAGGAAAAAATCAAAGAATTCCTAAAAGTATGTAATTCAAGTTTTAATTTTTAACTGACCAACTATTTATGGTAGGGAGTTTAGTAGCCTGAGCCAATCAGTGTTTATGTGAATTAATAAATGTAAACTTGTTTTTTGTAATGCTAAATGGTGTTCTGTTGCAAATTGGTAAATAATGCAAATAATGACGTTAAGTGAAAAAATTATTTTTTGTGAAAATTTTCAAATTAAAAGTAAAATTATATATATATATTATATATATATATATTATATATAAAGGACTGGAAAAGCACTTCCTTAGCACCTCTAATATTATGGGCTTAACTCTTCTGCACCTGAGATTCTCATTATTCTCAGTCTGAGCCATTACAAGATTTACTTATATTTTATTGTTATGCATAGTGGGGATTTTAAGGCATCTGAGTCCAGGATTTCTTTTTTTTTTTTTTTCCCTTCTTTTTATAACATTTAGAAATTCTGCCTCCTTCTTTTAAAATGACCAAATAATGGTCATTTTAAAAGATGCTATATTAGCCCCTCGATAACTTCAAGTAAGCTACTTTTATGCCTCAAGGAGTACACTATGGTGGCAAAAAATAAAGTAGTAATGCATGGTCGAAAATGCTTTCTGTCATGATAACACTAAAAGCGAGAGGAAAAACACGAACAATATGTTGGCTGGAACAGAGAAGTTGAGGAAAAGTTTTGGTTGTTTCAGATGGCACTATATACACCAAAACATCAAATGACCCAACTTGTATGAGGTAGTTGCAGGTGCATGGACTCTGGAGCTTCATTTCACTTGCCAACAGAGCTCCTTGCCACACTTTCTTTGCACACTTGTACCAGAGGTTTTCTAAAAGGAGATCCTTTAGCAAGAAGACACAATGTGAGCAAGCAGTAACAATGCAAACCAATGAGGAGACTGTGCTGAGGATACTACAGAACAATCCCGGTGCCAGTATGTCGGCTATCGCCAGTCATGTTAGGATTTCCATTAGCAATGTTTGGCAGATCCCTCATGACAGCTTGAAGCACCTGTATCAGACCCAGCATGTGCAGTTATAAAGAAGATTTTGCTACACAATTGGACAAAGATGATTTTGCTCCATAATTAGCCTTTGCACAGTGATATTTACAGATCCGCACACTAGATCTCCATTTCCCAGCAGGCTTTTGTTCCACATGCAACAAAAGCCTGTTTTCAGTTATTGTATAGGCCAGCATCACCGAAGACCACCTCGTTGGGCCGTTCTTGTTGTCCCAACATCTGACAGATGCAACCTATCTCATCTTTCTTCAGCAAGTATTGTCACAGCTATTGGACGACATGCATGTATCCACTGTGATGCATTCTGCCATATGGTTCCATATGGTTTCCTCACATTACAGCCTTGATGTATGTCTGTACCTGAATGGAATTTATCCTGAATGTGGATTGGTAGGGGTGGTGTGGGGCATTGGCCAGCAAGATGCAAATAATTATAATCATAGCCAATTGTAGATGATGCTGGTGTAATTGCATAGATGAGAAGAAACTTACAGGGGTTGAATACTTTGTAGATAACAGAACACATAATTTTATTCCTTGATTAATAATTTCTTATGACACATTCTCCTTTTCATATCACTATGGGTATGACAATGGATGAGACAGTGTCACAGTGATGGCACGTTTGTTGATAAAGTCAATGCTAATGGCTCAAACAAAAGTATTTCACGATGGAATGGACTTCAGACTGACTGTACAAATTAAATGGTTGGTTATTCAACTTTAAAAATTTTCATGGTTTAAAGCAATTAAAAAGTTCAGGTGAAAGAGCATCAGTCGATAATGAAGCTGCTGAACAATTTGCAGATGAGTTCCTCAAACTCATTAACAGTGAAAAAGCTATCTCCAGAGCAGATTTTTACGTTGACGAAAGTAGTTTTTTCATGCCCTCTGACATTTTAAGGGGTAAAGATTTTTCCCACCATACATTATTCAAGTAAAAGAGCATGGATGACACAAGCATTAATGAATGATTGGTTTAAACATCTGTTCATACCAAACAGTTAGCATCATTTCAAATCAGTTGGTTTTCAAAATGATAAAAAATTATCCTGATTATAGACAACAGTTCAGCTCATAAGTTTATTAAAAATTTCAGTGAAAGATAATGTCTCTGTCTTATTCTTTTCTCCAAATTGTACATGCATCATTTTGTCAGTGGATATCGAATTTTTCCGATTACTTAAATGTAGATATAAAGTAGCATTTTTAAAGTATGTGCTAAATTTTCTGAACAGTAGGAAGATCAAGACTTTTTGAATCTGCTGTGTGAAGCACTGCAAGTTCATGGAAGGAGAGCAGTTATATGCTTGCTATAATTTATGACCACCTTCCATATTTTATGGTGATGATGGTGATAATCACAAATTTGAAAGTTTTTAAATATTAAGGCAAAAGGTGGAATTTTTCAGTTAATTTGTAGACAAAGAGTAATCAATGAACATATGTATAAGTTTTCCATTGCAATGGCAATGCCCCAATCAGCAGTCACTAACAAACAGCTGAATCCGTAGAATAGTTTTTAATTCAGAAAATATCACTACTTATCGTGAACAAAATGACAGAAATTTAAAAAAAGAAAAGAAGAAAAATAACAGCTATATTAGAAGAAGTATTTAATGACACAAAACAAATAAATATTGAGTTTATATATGTGTGTGTATATATATATATAAATTTTGAAGGTTTTTCATTATTTGAAAAGCAGCAACTTCATATTTTTAATTTTATAATTTCAGTGTGTCATCTTACTAGATCAAATCAATGATCTGATCTAAAATCCAGAAAAGAATACATATGCTGTAATGCACATATGTACACATGTATTTATTGTAGAATACAATGGAACCTCGAGATACGAGTTTAATTCGTTCCAGCATTGAACTCATATAACAAATTTCTTGTATCTAGAAACAAACTTCCCCATTGAAAATAATGGAAATCCAATTAATTCATTCTGCACCCCCAAAAATATAAACATAAAAATCAATTTTTCTAATAAATAACACTGGTAAATAATATAAGCGTAGTTTACCTTTATGATAGCTTCCAACACCGACCTTTTAACTGCTTTTCGTTAATCCACACCAATAACAGCTTCTAGGACTTTTCGACAGTGCTTGAAAGTAACGGTAACTCCTTTGGCTACATCAAGTTTCTTAACTTCTTCTTCAGAATAGTGCAGATTGTTGATGTCGAAAGGCTGTAAGTCTTCACCAATTCCATCACTCTTACACCATGCTTATGATATCTATAATTTCTTTCTTAATTGCAGTGGCCATCACCTCCTTATCTTTCTTTGTAGCACTATCTGAGGCAACAGTCTTCTTGGGAGGGATCGTGAAATAATTATTTTCACTTTAAACGTAATAAACAATTAACTCGCAAGCACACAAACACGTAGATCAAAGAACATTGAGTGATTTGACGAAAGGATTCCCCGAGTAGAGTCGGATCGGGAAATGACGCCATATATACCAAGAGCCTGGCTCATTGCTCGTATTTTGAGACAAATTTTCCGCGCATACTTTCCTCGTATCTTGAGTATCTCTTATATAGAGGTGCTCATATCTCGAGGTTCCACTGTAAATGTACAAATATACAAACTCATTTCTTTTGCATTGCTTTATAATTTCTGCTCATGAAATTACTGAATAACTTTTGGTGAGTTTGTTTGCTCATTAGTGATTAAGAATTTAGTGGGATTATTTGAAATATTTATAGTATATAAACTGTAAAATTATTTTATATATCTAATACTACAATTTGTTCATATACAATACCGTTTGTTTTGGGGATGGGAGGCTGTTATAATTCCTTTATTTTGTGTGTTCCTTTTTAATAGCTGTTATTTTTCAGCTCTAATTTAACAAGTTGTGATGTACTGTATTATACTGTTGGTGCATGTGAGAGTGTAGTGCCTTATCATCCGTGTGGCATTTATAAGCCAGATACTTCAGTGAGTATGTCTGAGTAATATTCATAACAAGCATTTTACTCAGTAAATTTGTTAAGCCTCTTATTTCTATTATTATCACAAACTATTCCACTGAAAAAGTATTTATATAAGATTAATTCAAAGTATTCTTTTTTACAAAATACATTTTATATAAAATATTGTAAGTATTTATGTGGAATAAATACTGCAATCATAGGAAAATACACTGACAAGCCAAAACGTTATGGCCAACCCCACACTTTTTTTTCCTCATCTGGAGGATGTGATTAAATGGGTTTGGTATTTAACTGCTGCTTGGAGAAGGTAAGGAATCATTCCTGCAATTACTTTTGCGAGTGATGGGGAAAGGCTGCTGCTCTAGAATATAATAGAGGGCAGATTGTAATGGCCCGTAGACTCAGTACGAGTATCTCCGGAACTCCAAGACCGATAAGGTGTTCATGATCTGCTATTGTTAATATTTATGCAAAGTGGATAAATGACAGTGAAATATTGGATACAAGTGGCAAAGTGGATAAATGACGGACTACTATAGATTACCTTAAATTTATTAAAATTTCTGGAAGGCATACACTGTTACATTTACATACGTATTGGACCAGTTCCAATTACACAGTTATAAGACCAAATGATCGCGAAGCTTGGCAACCTTTTGCGATTTCTTGCCAAATTCGGCCTCAACTTTAGTCACTAGAACTGTCACCAGCTTGGCTTTTCCTCTCCAATTTGGCAAGATAGCCATTTGTCTCCATTAATGAACTAATCTCTGTAATTGTATTTTTCCAGCAATGCCTTGCATTTCTGAGGCCTTTAAAACTGCGTTCAGACTGAGGCATAAAGGGCATAAGTGGTTAAAGCCGAGCTCCATTGCCAAGGCAACCAGTCTGTGCTACGTCACAAAATCTGGTTTAGGGCTCGTGGGATAGGGTTCAATGTTTTCAACTTTACGCCGAGTTTGGGATAGCATCGGCCAATCAGAGCGAAGGTAAAACGAAGCGGCATTCTGCAGAAGATTTTGCTGTCACAAAACAAGCAGAGCGAACCCGGGAAATCAATCAAGCATGACTATGCCTCTATGTCCTTTACGTCGCCGTCTGAACACAGCCTAATATTGCATTATACAAGCGATACTACAAGTTACATATAATTTCACAAAAAGTATTTACGTATATAGAAAATTCTTAATAAAGTATCATTATCTTTGTTGGTACTTGAAATGTAAAGAGTTTCTTAGTATATAATTCTGAAGTATAGCAGTATATCAAATTGAATTTTATTCTTTTTTAATTTTAAATGGAATTGAACTATTGCGTTATTTGGCTTTTGACAACTTTATTAGACTAAAATAAGGTTTCATTATGTCTCAATCAACCTGAATTTAATATATTGATATTACTTAATCATGATCAGAATCATTTTGGAATTCTTGTTTTCTTAAGTTATGATATAGTTGATTTATTACTATAAAACAAATTTAAAGTAGTCATGGATAAACTACAGATAACTATTACAGTATTTGTTCTTAAAAAAAAACATACATTCTAATAAGAATACATAGTAAAATTAATATTGCATATCTAATAAGATATCTTCATTTCTACTTCCCTGTGATTGAAATCCAATTTCTTCTAATTATTTTCTCTGCTACTGCATGGGCCTCAAATCATCCATAAATATATAAACTATTGTCTCCCTCCTTTTCCTATGCCTTCGAGGTATAACAGGTAAATGTGATATTCACTGCATATTTGGGAGGTCCAGTGTTAAAATCCTGATTGAGGGCATTGTGGATTTCTTTAGTTTCCTAAAATTGAAAAATTCTAAACGAATCTGTAAGTCTTGCCTGAACTAAAAAGGGGTAAATAATAAATTTGTCATCACCAGGATTAGGCAACCGAATCCCCTAATCCCCAGTCGCCCTTTAAAAGGGAGATTATGTAAGTGTTTTCTCCCTCCTTTCTCTATACCTTCAACTGGAAGCACATTTGACACATATTTGGGATGTTCGAAGTTTAAATCCTGGCAAGGGCATTGCAGATTTCTTCAGTTTCCTGACACAAAAAATAAATTCTAGTGGCTCTACAAATGATTAAGATTAGTGTGCAGCCAATTTGTCGAAATCATAGACTGAATGTCAGTTCATGTTTGCTTTGCCATGATGGGTCAGATCTAGTGTTCGCCTGACACAAAGTTCAGCAGTTAGAAGGGAAAGTTCTTATTGGTAGTTTGGGAGTGCGTGTCTTTGTTAGTAAGATGAAAACAGCACTACATGGCTGAATCCATTGTGAAACTTATTGAGCTCATTGTTTGAATGCATTGACGGAAGGAATAGTTAATTAAATATTTTTTTTTTTTAATTTTCAGAACCTGGCACAAAAGCTAGGAAAGAAATACACGAGGAATTGTGGTGTGTTAACTGAATAAAATTCATTCTTCAGTAAGTTTTACGAATTGATTGATTTTAATGAATAAGGTTTTAAATGATCAAGTAGGACTGAAGAATGGAAATAATATGTGTGGAGAGAAACACCCAGTACCCATCCCCCTTTCTATATGACTTAATAACTCAGTGACTTTATATCTGTATTGATTGTTAATTTCTTTTGCCAATGTTTTTTCATTTATTAGTTTACTTTCTATTAATATTTGTATATAATATATATTGATTGCATGAATTTAAACTTCTTGTATTTATCAAGTTATATGCTATTACACTTTGTGATAAATCTTTGTCCTTTAGAAAAAATGTCTTGATTATGAAGGAAAACTTCATGAAGTTGATTTCAGAGCTACTAGGGAGGAATCACGATGCATGATGATGCAGTTGAGAAAAGAGGAAGTAAGATTAAGATTATTATGCCCATTAAAAAAATATTTTGAATGGTTTTTGTAAATGCGAAGTTTAGTTTTCCTTATAATCCCCATAGAGCAGAAAAAGCAAGTTAATAAAATGTTCATTATGCATTAGTAATTTAACTGTGAAAAATTCTTACATTTGCAAGAAACATTTGTTAAGATATCTGTAACTAATGTTTTCTGAGAGCTAATTAAAATGTTTAATTCTTGTTTCTTCTGATGCAAAATTTATAATCACTAAAATAAATACATTTTGCTTTGTAATTGCTCCTTAAATTTTTAAAAATGTTTAAATTTGTTCGAAAATGCACATAGAAAAGTCATCTGAGTAAGTGAATTCTTCCTTTTATATCTTCTTAAATTTTGTAATACTTAAAAATTCTTCAAGCTGTCTGTATTAAAGGTAACTGAGATATATTATTTGAATTTTAATTGATTTGTTTAAATGAAAATTCACATCATTTAAATATGAAATATAAATCCAAAATTCTTTCTTTTGAGAATTCAGAGGATGTCAGTTATGATATTATAAGCTATCTTCCTTTAACTTAAATGGACACCTTTTTTTGTTAATATCAGTATCAGATGTTTTATATTCTTAACTTGAATGTTAAAAATTTTACTTATTATAATTTTTATTAATTTACTTATTATAATTTTTATTAATTATTATAATTTTTATTTTATTATTATAAAAATATCATTATTTATTATGTTTATTTATTCTAAAAATATTATGTATATATTGGGAGAAAAATAAGTCTCTGCCATTTTCTATCAAAAATTGGGCATTTATTGTGAAAGAAAGGTACATTATGTTTTATTCAAAGTATTTCCATCGCTAGTCACTTCCCACCTTTCTGACATCATATGGATACCGCATCAGAAGAATACTTCATCTTTCGAAACTATTCACAAATCAACCCAATTTTTGGACTTTTCACATGATCTGAAGCACTGATCAGATGGGCCATGCGTCTTCAATTGAATAGTAGTCAGAAGGAGCAATGTCTGGTGAATACAGTGGGAGGAGGAAAACTTCTCATTTGAGTGATTCCAAGCAGGTTTTGACTGGCACTGCAACATGTGGACTAGCCTTATCATGCAGGAGAATAATTTTATCATGCCTGAAGTAGTAGTGGGCGCATTTTTCTTTGAGTGCTCGGCTGAAAGCTCAGTAGAGAACCCCTGTAATGGTTTCACTGGGTTTGAGCAACTCATCATTACACACCACTAATTTGATCTCACCATATACACAACATGATTTTCTTTTCATAAATATTCAGCTTGGCTGTCAATGTTGAAGCATGGCCAGGTGGTCCCCATGATTTCTTCTTTGGGTTATTCTAATGGTTCCATGTTTCATCTCTAATGATTATACGATGCAAAAAACTCTTTAGTTTATGCCTGGCAAGCAGCATTTCATGTTTAAGAAATAGGCCTTCAAGGTTTCTCGGCTTTAGTTCACATGGAACCAAATTTCCTTTCTTTTGAATCATTCCCAATGATGTAAAATGATGTGAATTGTTGTTGAGTAGTTCTACTTGCATTTGGCATGAATTGTCCTCCAATAATACAGTACAAAAACCGTAATCTGGACGTCCATTATCTGGAATGATCTATAATCCGAACCTCAAAGCCACAAGCTTACGCATGTGCATTTAATGCACGCGTCCGCTACGCATGCGCGTAAAGCATTTACCCATGCGCACTTCCGATAGTGAAGAAAGTGACAGAGAAATTGAAAACGAAAAAATTTCGATTGACAAGTTAGTCGGTATTCTCGACACAGCAATTACAGGACTTGAACAGTGGAACTTTGTAACTGAACAAAGAAATTATGTCTGTTTATAGAATTAAAGAGAAAGTATTAGCACCAAAAAAAAAAAAAAAAAAAAAAAAACAACGAAGCAACTTAAACAACTTACATTGAAAGAAATGTTTAATAAAGTAAACAAATAAATATTAAGCTTTTCTTTGTAAATTTCGATACCCTTTAGATCATAATTACTCTTTATTTCATAAATTACGGTTTCATATTTTTAATTGTATAATTACTGCATGCCATCTTACCAGATTTAAATTGATGATCTGTAATCCGGAATCACCGAAGTCCTGACAAGTCCGGATTACAGACTTTGTACTGTACTATATATAAATTCTGCATCTTTGTGCACTTTCGTCCTTCCGCTACGTTCTTTGTCTTCAGTGTCAAATTCACAATTCTTAAACTTTTGAAACAACTTATGACAACTTCTCTCGCTTAAGGCAGCCTCACTATATGCTTCTACAAGCAATCGCTGTGCCTCAACTGCAGGTTTCTGCAAATTAAATAAGTAAATCAAAAGTTCATGCAAATGAAGTTCATTTGGCCCAAAACATTTTCACGCAAAAAACAAATGTGATGCTGATACAAAATCGCGATGCACAACCTTATTATAAGACATTTTATATCAGGCAATTTTAACCATAACTTACTAGTGGCCCCATTTTTTGTCAAATGGTGGAGACATATTTGTACTTCTTCACCCTCTTTTTTTTTTTTTTTTTTTTGTGTGTGTGTGTGTGTGTGTGCCCAAAAAAATTTATTCTTTTTTTAACTTATGTTAAAAATTCACAATATTCTCTTTAGCTTTCGTTTAGAATATATTTTAAGAATGTGAATATTCATCATTTATATGCGTTGGTTTATTTTCAGTGACAATATGTCATATTTTTAATCTATTAAGTGGAAATTGAAGAGAGCAAATCCCTTAAATAAAAGAGAAAAAAAAATTTTTTTTTGTTTCAAAAATTTAACTATTTCATACCTGTAGTCATTCTGCAGTAATTTTTGCTAATTTATTATTCTTTTTTGTATGTAGTACTTTGCTGTGTGTAACACTATTACAGAATAAGCTTCTTGAATTAAGTTGCCTTCGTATTTTAATTCAGCTCGCACAAAATACTGAAATAGTCCACGAGGGAAAAAATATCTTTGTTCACTTATTGAAGTAAAACACAATTTTTCACTTGGTATCCCATCCCTAGAAAAGCTATAATTTGCAATATACTTATTTTGAAATATGCTATCTGTTTTAGAATGCATCATAGTGCATATAATGTAGTATTGCTGAAGGAAAATGCTGACATTCAGGTGCATTCAAATGCAGTGTTATGGTTTATGAAATCATCTGCCTCTTTTGGTACTTATTTATCATCCCACAGACTGTGAAAATGTCACTGCGCAACGTGATTTCATGCCAGTTATGGATAAGTGTGATGTAACGGCATGCTCTTAACATTTGTGCTTTTGACTGATGTAATCCGGATTGTTTCTCAATTAGTCACATTTTATTTTTATGATCATATATGTAAATTAACTCTTAGTGCTGCTTTTTGTTTTCCTCCCATTTTGAGAAAAATAGTTAAGATTTGGAGCCAGCCTTCTACAGAACAGCAAGCAGTGGATTATTTTCAAACTAATGTGATCCTACCCTTAAAAAAGTGTATATTAATGAACACAATATGGTCAGCTGTGTATGAATGGCAAAACAGTAGATTGGAACAGTTACCTGCAGAAGTTTTGTACTGATAGTGTTCTAAGCAGAGAGCACGTTAAAATTGAAGGGGGCCTAATAAATAGTAGCATTTGATGTAATCCTTTTTCTTAAGCGTGGTTGAATATTGATTATTTATTGTACAAAAACATTATACGAGAAATGCTGAGGATGAGTATAGAGAAATTAGAAGATAAGAAAAAAGATTATTCAGAATGAAGAAGAAAGTATATTGGAAGAGCTTTCATAAGGAAGAATTATTTCATAAAGAAACAGAATATCTCAGATCTCAGTGCTCTCCTTAAATTCTAAAAATTTTGTCATCTCTTAATTTTGTTGCTTGATGCTTCTCTAAATTAAAAAAATTTTGTCTTCCCTAAATTCTGCTGCCCAGTGCAGCCATACAAGCTCTGGCACTTGTTCTGAGTTTATGTGAACAACAAATCAGTTATTCTTAATTCAAATACCACTAAATGTAATCTTTTGGCTTATGAGTTTAATTAACAAAATCCATTTTTAGCATATGGAAAGAAATTTTTGTTAAATTTTTCCTTGGCAGCATTTCTTAGCACATTAAAATGTTTTTCACTCGTCAACTTTTCCTTAGTGCACTTAAATCTGTAATCATCACCAAGCATAATATCAACATAAAAAGTTACCATATTACTAATATAAAAAAAATGTTTAGACATCGCTGCATGTGTCATTACTCAAATTGTCATGTGTTGATAAGCATGCGGTAATGAAAGCAAAATATAATAAATGATTCACCAGTTTGGCACCAGAGATATAAAATATTAGCAAGTGTAAAATCAACGATGAATGTTTCAGTTTGAGATGTATGCTAGATGTGCAGCTACAAAGCCAAATTATTGATCACACAGATTTATACTAAAATGATTATTTCTTCAATAATGAGGTATTCTGTTTAGTGCCAAAAATTTTGAATTAATGAAATTAAGAATTGGGAATCTCCACATATTTTATTATCGGGGGAGTCAAATGTGCACACCCCAAAAAAATTCTTAAAAAATTTTTTTTTGAGGAAAAGTATAGATGTTATGCCAAAATGGGAGAAATTTTCATGTATTATTAGGAATTGAACTGAATTATCATGAGCTGTATTCATTATTGCTTCATTATTTCATTTAATATTTAATCATCTCCTGTTTTCAGGTCAAGCCAACATGTTTAATTATGAAGTGTAAAACATCCAATGTGTATGAAGTGCTTGTAGATTCAAAATGGCTTTCTTGTCAGTATAGAGATAAGGTAAATATTACTGTTGTTTGTAACTTATTAACACTTGCGTGTTTTGCCATTCTGTTTAAAATTTGAACAATTTATGATTTTATATTATAATCATAGATAAAATGTATTATTTTTATTCATGCATATTTTTTAGGTTCAAATAAGTAATATAACTGTATACTGCCCACAAGACCTTAAATTTTGTCGTTTTGAAGAACCATTTATGAAAGCTAGAATATGTCTTCCTAGTGAAAAGTTTAGTAAGTAACAAACTTAGTAATGATATATAATCATAACTCTTTTTTGGCATATTCTCACATAACCAAGACTTGCTATCCATTATCAGCAAATGTCTACTAAATGGGAGTATAGTGGCATGGTACTTCTAGATTATTCATTAATAGGGGATGTCTGTTAAAGGGAAGTAGCTGTTGGTGAAGGTTCAGCTGCATATGCATAAGCATGTTACTTTTGTGAATCCGTTAAACTTTGAAAAATATAATTTAATGTATTTATGTTTGATTTCAATTATAGATGATTTATTATGATCTCATATTAAAAATTGTTTGTTTGCTGTCATTTATTGTCAAAAAATACAATATATATATATAAGGCATGTTCAAATGAAAGCGATTTGAAGGGCCGCATGCAAAAAGTTTGTGCTGGATTTTTGTGAAATAAACACGATAATGAAGCTGTATGTACCACGCATGCCTATGCAGAAGGAGATGTGTGCTAACTTCAGTCATAAGGACGTAGTATTCATTCAAAAATGGCTGGTGTGGATGCAACTGCAATGGAAACAGATCAGCGAGCCGTAACCAAGTTTTTAACACCGGAAGGGTGTAAGCCGGTGGACATTCATCGAAGAATGGTGGCTGTGTACAGAGACGTGTGTTGAAGCCCGCGGTGACAAAGTGGGCGAGAATGTTTGGCGAAAGTCAGCAGGAGACAATGGATTTGCAGCGGCTCAATCAGGCGACACGGTTGTAACAGATAAGCTGATTGTAGACATTCTCAGGGCAATCAAGGCAAATTGTTGTCGAAACATTTGTGACGTTGCAAATGAGTTGAAAACGTTTCCATCAGTACTGTTCACAATATTGTCAGCAACTTTCTTAGCAAGTATCGAAAAGTTTTTTTTGCCAATGGGTACTCCGCATACTGTCTGATCACCACAAGAAACAGCGAATGGGTCTCAGTTTACAGCATTTGGTGCACTACACTGCTGACGCTGACGACTTTCTGCAGCACATAGTAGCAGGAGATGAAGCCTGGTGTCATCATTTCTAACCGTAAGGGAAGTCCATCAGCATGCAATGGAAACATCCCGATTCACCTAGGCCCCAAATGCTGGAGAAATGTTGTTGATGACATTTTTTGACATTCAGGGTCCCTTGTTTAATCAGCCGCACGTCTTCATCAATGCCTAACGGCACATCGAAACGCTTGATAAGCTGTGTAAGGCTATCAAAAGCAAACGTCCAGGTATGGTGTCATCCTTCTGCACGACAATACAAGGCTGCATGTCGACCGGGTGTGTGTCGAGGCACTGGCCGTAAAAAGTGGGAAGTTTTGGAACATTCAGCTTACAGTCCAAATCTGTCGCCTTGCGACTATCACATCCTTGGACTGCTCAAGGAAAGCCTAAAGGGTCAATGCTTTCAGTCTGATGAGGATGTAAAGGCTGCAGTTATGAACTGGTTCCATGATCAACCGACATCATTCTTTGAGGATGGAATTCGTAACCTTCCCAAGCAATGGGACGCCTACCTTAACGCAATGAGTGATTTTTTTTTAACAAACACTGTATGCATTTCAATCATTAAATATTGCTGTTCCTATCTATGTTATCTGATCATTTCTGTCGCTACACATCTCATGGATACACACCTCGAATCACTTTCATTTGAACGTCCCTCATAGTTATGATTTGACTATTTCATTTGAACGCCCCTCATAGTTCTTATATTTTTGTTAGCCCCCCTCATTTGCTTTATTATTGTATTTACTTGAATATAAGACCTAGTTGATTCTACATTTAAGGTTAAATTTTAAGATATCAAAGCATAAATGAATATTTGTCTTGCAATCTTAGTTTTTCTGCCCCCTTCTTCCTTCAAAATGCTTTTGAAATAATAATAGTACTATTACATTTGGCCAAGGACATTCTGATTGATATATTGATAGCTATATGTTTTCAGGCATACCAGTAAACTAGTAAAGTGAATGCAGGCTTAAACTGATATCACACATCTAGGCATAGCTATTATAATTAGTGCAGTTATACAATTTATAAGTACTGTACCTGTATTGTTTATGTAGTATTTAAATAGTGTAATTATTTACATTATATAATAATTGAACTTTTCTTTATGCAATTTCATTTATGTAAATATTTAATTATAAGATGCTACCACATTTTAGAACAAAATGTAACAACTTTTAGAACAAAAATAAAAGTACAGTGAAAGCCCAACTAATCAGACTATTTTAAAATAGTTTCTTTATGAAAAACTATGCAAATGAGAGATTCTTTATGAAAAATTATGCAAATAAGAGATTTGTAAAGGCGTTATAAAACTCATATAACACTTCTGCTCATAATCCTGCTTGTAACATCTAAAATATGAATACTATTACATGACTCTCTTTGTGAAAATGTTGCTTACACATTGCCTACACACAAATAACATTGTAGCCATAATATTATTCCTAGAATTAATCCTTGGAACTGATATGAGCATACGTGGGACCTGTGTCACTATGCACCAAGATGCTTAAAGTGCGCTCAAATGCACAAAACCTACCTTTGCAAAACATCTAAAGAAAAAGATCCACTAATTTGTGTCCTTTGCGGACAGGATCATGTATCTTCTTATCATGGGTGTTGCAAAAACCCAGAAAACATCAAAAGAAAAAACACGAAAAGAAATAAAAAGGAATTCAAAGAAATCTGAATTTAAACTTAACGCAGAAGAGTTTCCAAAACTCCCAAGCAGTAATCAGCAGAAAATCCCTGACACACCCTCATGGACAAACTCCAATCAAAAAGAGCCAAGTTTCTTTAAATGGATTAAAACCCAATTCATGCAAATTAAGTCATTTTTTAACAAATTTAAGGCTGCTAAAACCATTATGGAAAAATTAGAGGTCGGAATGACCGCTTTTGATTATTTCACGAACCTAAATTATGAATTTTAAGTCTCAAAATTACAATCCTAATCTGATTTCAACTACTGCAAGTTTTCTTGAAGTTTCTTATTTTAATGCAAATGGAATGCTCAAACAAAAGTATGAATTTATCAGCTACTTAAACTCCCATGGCATAGATGTCATGATGCTCAATGAGACACACCTTATTCCCAGCAATAGATTCCAAATTCCTGGATATAACATTATCAGAAAAGATAGAGAGCACAACAGTGGCGGCGACACTGCAATCCTCACCAAGAATCATATAAAACATACATGCTTTGATGTAAATAACACTGGTAATATCGAAAATTCGGCGGCACTAATTTATACAGGGTTCAATGAACCTTTTCTGTTTATCTCAGTCTACAACCCTCCCAGCAGCATTCTGAATTTTAATGATCTTAATTCTTTAACAAATTCTCACTACCCCACCGTAATCGTCGGGAATCTCAATGCTAAACATAATAATTGGAGCTGTAATATCAATAATAGAAATGGGAATTTTACTTCGTAATCTTTTCAACACTTGTAAACAATGGAAACACTCCATAGCTATTATGCTACTCAAACCGGTGAAAAACTCAAATGAAGTTGCATCTTACCGCCGATCAGTTTACTCCCCCCTATCAGCAAGGTTTTCGAGAAAATAATTAACGACAGACTAAATCCATATATTGAGAAAATTCATAATCTGGACAAACAACAGTTTGGTTTTAAATCTGGTCACTCGACCACTCACCAAATTTTTAACTTAGTTGAATTTATCGCTGGAGAATTCCATGAGAAGAATGAAGTCGCTGCATGCTACCTCGATTTTGAAAAAGCTTTCGATTGAGTGTGGCATGCAGGACTTTACAAGTTAGCTAAATTCTCTCTTCCAAATAGCTTTCTGAAACTTATGATTTCTTAGCTCGAAGAAAGGACATTTCATGTTAGATGCAACGATGCTCTTTCTCTGATGAAAAATATTCAAAGAGGTTTACCACAAGGATCAGTAATCTCACCAAGAAATTTCAACATTTATGTGTATGACATGTCAAACCCGGAAAATTCAAAAATCCTCAAATATGCGGATGACGCTGTAATTCTAACTAATTCTCTTAATCCTCAGCACGCAATTGATAAATTGAGACATCATGTTAAAATAATAGATTATTGGTGCAAAATCTGGAAGATTAAACTCAATCCTGCCAAGTGCTGCATAGTTCTTTACGGGCGCTACAAAAAATATTTCCCCGTGGATATCGACATTAGAATTAACAATAATCTTGTCCCTACTGCAAACTCTTACAAATATCGTGGAGTTCTCATTGATAGTCAACTCACCTCCAAGAACATATAAATTACATTACCAATAAAGCAAATGCTGCATTTATGGTGATTTACGGCTTAATCGGACGAAAATCAAAATTGAATTTAAGAACAAAGCGTACGCTTTACCTGACATTAATAAGACCCATCTTACTGTACGCCATCCCGGCGTGGGCAGCTGCGAGTAAAACTAACAGAAGAAAAATCAGCATCCTTCTAAATAAAGAACTGCGTTCTATTACAAGTGCCCCATGGTTTGTGCGGAACACGACAATTTATAATGACTTAAAAATCCAGGATCAAATCCTCATCACAGCTCATAATTTTTTCAACAGCTTAAGTAATTCACCCTATGAGGCAATCAAAAATCTTGCAAATTATGATCCTACCGTAGAAACCACGCTCCATTCATCACAATCCCAAGTGGTGAATTTGTATATAGTGTAAATATTTATTCTTATTTTCATCTTATTTTAATTACTACTTGTGTATGTAAAGACTATGCTCTACAAAGCTTTGACTATGTTTGATTAAGAAAGGACTTTATTGTTTGGCATAGCCAAATGGACTTTGTGCACGATTTACAAAAACTTTGAAAGTTTTTTATTGGACCATGATCTCTCCTGCCGCCACTTTTCCAATAGATAGTTCTATCTCACTCAAAATATTCACTGTGATAATTTTCCAAGCTTTATTTCAATTCCTACAGATGAACTGTTACCCTATTTAGTGTTTAATATCGGAATTAGTTATTTATCTTTGTATGTGTTTTTTATCTTATGTAAATCGAATAATGTTTTTGCGACATCCGTCAGTGATTTAAATTTCACCTCTCGTATCTGCTGCTCAGTTAGGAACTCTCAGTCAGTCAACGCATGCATCGCTCCTAGCACCTACTCAAATATTTCTGCATGGATTTAAATCCAGTTTTACTCTGTATAAAAGATGATTTTGGACTTTGTCCAACTGACTGCCTTCCCTAATGACTTGCCACTTAGACTATTTTCGCCTTCGGTCACGGTGCTCATGCACCCTCGATTTATTGAAAAAAATTATGAGAGGCCAAATGGTCCACCTGAGATATTAGTAAAAACTCTTAGTAGTTGGAACTAAAGATGAAACTGGCGATTCCAGATTCCTTGGAACTGGACACTCTTGTTGGTACTTTATTTGTTGAACCATTTCCTACATATAAAAACTCGCCAAATAATATAGTTTAGTGTTAATAATGGATAAGTTGACAGCATGAAATAAATAATCATAGGATCTTTGCTATGCTTTAATATAAACACGATTAACTCTGAATATTTTGGGTTTAGTTTAGTAAAGGATACAACTTCACTACTATTTCTCTGTCTTTCCTCCAATTTGGGGGAGGGAATTAAATTTGTGACTTATTTTCTATGGAACAGCATGCAATGGTGTATTTTCAAAGTTACAGGATTCTGGCATTAAGAAAAATGGTATTAATGGGCTTTATATGCAATTTTATTTGGAAATGGATAAACAGTGGTGATGCAGCATAGAAAATTATGATAAGTGATTTAAGTTTTTTATATTCTATGTCCATAATTTGTATCTGTTATGGTAACTAAATGAAGAATAATCTGTTTCTTCAAAATTTTTCTGCTATGGTTGGTGTAAATTTTGGGATAGGGAACTGTGCTAACTTTCATGGATGATGATATTTCATAATCCATTATATGCTATTTTTGTATGTTTATGGCTTACAAAAGTATGTTGGCTTTTATGCTTGAAATCTCCCCTCTACTTAATTTTTAATGTATGCTTTTGATAACAACAAAAAAAAAGTGTCTTTTTTTATAATTTTAGACTGAAATTCTTTTCTTCCTCTCATTTGGCTTTTCTAATATCAACTGCAATTTTTATACATTCAACTACCAGAAATTTTCACATATTCACAGGGTTCGTAGCGATCCTTACAAGTGCTTATAAGTTCTTATATTTGAAAATAAAATATAAAAGCCCTTATAGATGCTTACTTTTTCTCTAAAGCACTTATTTTTTTTGTTTTGAGTGCTTATTTTTTGCTTTTAGTGCTTTTTTTTTTAAACAAACGCAGATTTTTTCCTTGCCAACCAACCTAAATAAACAACTTTCTTCCTTATTGGAACATCAGATGGTGAATTATACTCCCAGGAAATAGCTTTTTGCCCCTTCTCTGCATTAACATACCTTTGGTGCACGAGTACAGACAGTGCACTCGTTCTATTGTCAAAGAATTGCGAAAGCGGTTAGGAAATTCCGATCATTCCATATCTTTTGCTGCACTCACTATACACTTGTTTAAATTTCTCAAGGATGTTATAATTTACTTATTGTGCGTCGTGGTCAGTCATATTCGCTTTATATGATCGGTATGCTTATATTATGAGAATTATGAATCTTATAATATTTTTTGCAGTAACTGCTGAATATAATAAATTCAAAATGGGTAAGTGTTTTTAACATTTTCTAAGGATATATTTGGAATGGCATAAAAAAGGTGAAAGTAATCGAATAGTCAAAATTTGTTTTCAATGCATTATGAGTCGGAGTTGGGGTTCCCCTTCTCTACAATCTCGAATATGAAACCATACGTGCACACAAAGCACACACCTGCTCCTTTTTCTGTCTTTTCTTTCTTTTTTTTTTTTTTTTTTTTTGTCACTTTTAATCTGATTGATAGGACGAAATGTTCTGTGATCCAAATCGAAGAATGTTCTATTCTGGAATTTACAAAGTCTGTTCAAAATAGAATGAAAAACACCCACATTGGTAATCTCTTTATAAATCACTATGAGTATGGTGGATATCGCGCGAGCCATATGTCTGCTCAATGATAAATATGCACATGGGCGCATGACGTGAAAAACGGACGAAGCAAAGGGCTTTTCCTTTATTTAGTTATTATTCTCAAACCAGCAGTGTTGCTTCCAATTGCATAATACCGCGTGCGGAAGAATTAAGACGCACACATTGACACAAACCGTTTGCGATATTTCGCAGAAAAGATTTTTACTTGCTGTAAGCAGATATTTTTCAGTTCCATGGGCTACTTTTATATGAACCATATCGAAATGCAAAAGCATTATTAGCTGAAATCTAAGAAAATACAATCTACCTCCTCTACTTTTACCAATTACTCTCTACTATCCGGAATTTCAGAAATTCCTTTTTTTACTTATTTTTACTTAACTTACTTTGCTTGCAATATATGTTGGAGAAAAAACTGTTATACAATGAAAATTTAAAAATGTCAGAATTTTGATTTAAATTATTTAATATTAATATGAGTGAAAAAAATTGTATTTATTTTAAGGTGCCAGCGAATCATAAATGGCTTTTATTTATTTATGTCTCAATTTGAACTGAAATTTCATCATTAAATCTTGTAATATATTTCGTTCTGCATGTTTTTTTTTTTATCTCATTGAAACGAGTTCTGTAAATTGCAACTGTTATTAAATTAAAAAAAAGAGTGATTTTTCCATGTTTGAGTAATGTCATTCTCTCTTAATAAATAATGAATTTCTCATTTTTTAATTACACTCGAATCTTCTTTAGGTTTGAGTGTGTATATTAATTAGACCGTTGCTCTTCTTTTCTTTCTTTTTTTTTTTTAAATGTGCTTATAGGTGTCTTATTTTTTATTAAAATGTGGCTACGAACCCTGTATCAACGTTCACATTCTTCAACTTTCTGGGTTTGAGCTTGTACTGTAGACCTAACGGAGACTTATTTTGATAAATAACAATAGTGTTCTATAAAGTGCATGTTTAAGTCACTAACTTTTTTTTTCTCGTTTATTTACTATCCAAGATATTTTACAAGACCCAATTATGACTTTTATCTGAACAATTTAAGAATTTCAGGTTAGCACTTATGCTCTCTTTTCCAACTGAAATTCCTATGAACTTATTGTTATGCAACAATATCTGTGTTCAAACAATCTACTTAGAGTTTTCTATCTTCCTCCAAAGCTACGGCCGTGAAGAATGCGAATACTATAACAAAGTTCAACATTTTTCAAACAGTGTTTCATGCATGCCTACAAGAAGTGAAGATCTTGCTGTATCATCAATATGATCAGTAAGTTTTCTTATTATCTTTTATCATTCCTATGTTTATACAGTACAAAGTCGAAATCCAGAACTCTGTCCGGACTCAGTGATTTCGGATTTTTTAGGCTTTAGATCATCAGTTTAAACCTAGTAGATGGCATGTCGAAATTATAAAATTAAATAAGAAATCGGATATATGAATAATAAGGTCTTATAATAAAAGTATCAAATTTACACACAAAAAAGCTAATATTTTGTTTACGTTTAAAATTCTTCAATGTAATGTTTAATTCTCGTTTTTTTGTACTAATACTTTCTCTTTAATTCTGTCAAGACAATCTCTGTTTAGTACTTGTTGAAGCCTGTAACTGCGTTTCCAGAATTCTGACTAACTTGTTGATGGAATTTTCTCGTTACTCCTTGTCACTTTTCTTTACACAATTCAGGCTTAATTGTCTCGCACGATAGAAGCCGAAAAAGATAATGAAAACTGTCGTTGGTCGCCAGCTCAATAGTACCAAATATGTATAGTGAAGGATAGCTAAATTGAGATGATAGCCGCTAATTTTAAGGTTTTAGATATCGCAAAACAAAGGTAAATTTCCAATTAATGGATTTTGAAAGAATGTGGAGAGCGGTATAAAGAAATGATATAAAAGAAATATTCATTGTGTTACAAGTTACTCAATCATCATCATTATGAATGCGAAACGCAATATGGTTCTAGATCCAGAAAACCGCTACTGATAGCCAAATTTGGACGCATTTTCTGAATGATCAAATTCAGCCTCAAACAAAAACATGTTTTCTCATAGGTTATGCATGCGCATTTGATCCCCCCTCCCATAATAAAACATCTGGAGAGTCCTGATCCATTTCACTTGACACTAAAAAATTCTGCTTTTGAAGAAACATCATTTAGCATAATTGTCGATCAGTATTTGGTATGTGCTGCTGCGTTCTGCTTGGCCACACATCTCCACTGATAAATTCCACTGACCTTCTTTCTCTGATGCCAACAGCAATCATTATTTATTTAACTTTCCTTTCATTGATGCAGTTTATCAAAACATACATCTGAGTAAGACTCATGTATGATGGCTAAACAATTTTTTATGTCCTATGAATAATAACGGAGTATGTAACCTTTATGTGACTTGTGCTGCCGTGATTACAATTTAAGTTAAATGTACTAAACTGTTGCGAGAAAAATTACCACCATTATCTTTCCATATGCTAAAAAAGTTAGTTCGTGATACTCAAGACGAAAGATTACATTTAGGGCTATTTGGTTAGAATAAACTGATTGTATTCAATAGCCCAAAACATGCAGGGCTCATGGCCGCACCAAGTGTCAGAATTTAGGACCCACAGAGACTGCATCAAGCGGTAAGATTCCGGCCCTATAATATATCGGGCATTTATTATTTATACAGAACTCAGATAGCCTAAGATTACAAGAATAGACACAAGTAAATAATAAACTAACTTATACAATTCAGCTTCAATTGTCTCTGCACGATAGAAGCAGATAAAATTAATGGAAGAACTGGCGGTGTGCAGCTCATGATGCTATCCAATATGTATAGTGAGAATAGCTAAATTTGATGAGATAGCCGCGAATTTAAAGGTTTTGAGAATCGCAAAACAAAGGTAAAATTTCCAATTATGGTTTGGAAGAATTGCAGAAAGCGGTATAAATGAAAGATGATAAAAGAAGATTTCATGTATACTAATTTAAAGAAATGTTTTTCAGTCAAACTGATGATGTAAATGCTTCTGATAATAATAAAATTATATGAAAATATGAAGTCATTGCTTGTAATATAATTACAACTTGAATCATTATTTCTTTAGATGCACATAAGAAGTTTTAGCATAATATTGCTGCTTGTACTGTTGCTACTTTAAGTTCTATCATATCCATTATTTTTTTTTTTTTTTTATTCTCCCATAGTGTTAAACATAATTGCTTATATTAGTACTGAAATATTTCAACAGATCGTACTCATGTTCAATTTTATATATCTAAAGCTTTTGATGTTATTAATTTCAGGAACAACAAGTTAACTAATTCCCCTCCAAAAAACCTCAATGATTCAAAATAATGCATTATATCGCTAAAAGATAACGTAGTTAATTTTAATTCTATCATTATTTGTTGCATTAATTTATTAAAATAACTTTAATTTGCTTTTTTAAGAATAGAGAAGTTTTTTATATATATATATATGTAATAATAAATTCCATATCAAGATACCTTAAAATTCTACGTTTTTTCTTTTCATTTTTAATGGCGACGTTCTCTTATTAAAGTACGGGAATAAATCCACAGCCCCGAGTAATTGTTTTCTCCCGCCTTTCTACACGTACAGTTTAGAATGTTCTGGAGTTAATTTAAAGCTAACTGTCTTTCTGCAAGTTGACGTTTTTCTTGAAAGCTCCACTTCCCCGAGGCCTATAAAGGCCTTGCGAAAAAATATTGGGGAATTTTTCTTAATGTCACGATGCAGTAAACTTCAACAAAAAGTATTAGTAATTCTTTTTTACTCCGATATCATATTTTTGTAATTGCTATTTCTCCTGATAATATAAGTGGAACCTGTTTTTAACTTATCATCTGATTTTTAAGCTACGACGAAAGCTGATAATCACATATATTAATGCATTTGTGTGAGGCATCAAGCAAAATGTGATTACGGGGAGACTGTTGCAGCTATCAGAATGTAATACATTTCTGACATGTTAAAAAATATATGACAGCAGTTAAAAAATATGTAGAAGTATAGGCAATAAATAGGATTAATATAATATACAGGAAATATTGCAATACAAGCACATCTAAAGAAAGAAAAAAAAAACAAAACTCATTCACTAAAACAAACTAAAACAACTAAAAGCCTCTTTTGCACTTTTTAGATGCCTTTATAGATTTCACATTTCTCATATATCTTCTTTTTAGATCGCACGGAAAGCATTAGGAGCGATAATTATGGTTCAACTAACATAGTGGTCAATTACATTTATTCATTTCAATATAAATTACCAAAATACCCTTATTCAAGTAAATGCACATGCTCCGATTTTTACTTTTCTGGCATACTTTCCTTAATATTGTCTACAATCATTGCATGGGCCTACACAATTTAATTATAATTCTACTAAAATTATCTATCTAAATACAAAACTCATAACCTTGTTATCTTTTATCATAATTAATTTTAAACTAAAGTAAAAGTTATATTTAATTGCATAAAATTAATTATGCATAAAATAAATTGTATAAGTGAGAAAGAAAGCGGTAGAAATTTATAAAAATAATCTATGATGGTTTTTAAAGCCTTTGTACTTTTTATATTTATTATATACTTCATATTTGTTTTTATATTTCAGAATTGATCCAGAAGATGTCATAACCTTTAGTGATTATAAAGGATTTCGACTGTTAGCTGTACCTGTAATTTGTGGAATTTTTGTAATTGCGACATTTATTGCTTCTGTAATGAGACTTTATCTGATTCAAAGGCACAGACCTCACTGAGCTATAGAGATGCAAGAAGGTACTCAAAATATCTTAAATTTACAACTTTCTGATTCATCATTGCATACTTAAAGTGGATAAATTTTCTGTAATAAGGACAGATTGATTTGTAAAAATAATCCATGTGTAAATATATATGTGTATATAAATTATTTTTATATGAAATTGTGACCATTAAAATCTATTTTTTTCTACCATTGAATATTGACATCTCTAAAAATAAGATATAATATTTATAAAAATATGAGTAAGAACAACTCTAAAATAAGTGAGAAGATAAGATAAACTCTGGGCATTCCTCTTTCTGTCAACTAAATGAAACTAAGAGTTCCCTTGTCCTGCCAAACCAGGCACAGGAATTCAGCCCTGCCTCCCACCTTGGAGAGAAAGACGCATTCCTTTTACGACGGTGATTGCTGTCAATGATCTGCTACCTGCCAGTCACACGCCGAAGGATATTACTCAGCATATCCGGGGTGCCACCCCCTGACAGTACCCATGACGCCTCCACGGGCTACTAGAGCCTTCAGCTTTAGGACTTGCCAGACCACTGCGCTGACCAATAAGTGATCTTTGGGAGGCCTTTAGAACCACTAGGTTCATAATCTGTATATCCCGGTGGCCGAAATTGCCTAGGTACAGATCCTAGCCAGTAGGTTCGCAAAGTTCTCTACGTCAACCCCCAAGGGGGGGGGATAAGTGAGAAGTATATTATGTAAATAATAATGTATAAATATATTTGCATTTAAGATATTTTTATATGATATCGGGACCAATATAAAATAGACTATTCACTAAATTGAGCAACATGTCTCTTTTTATTGTTGCTTAGCATCAATTTTTCAATTTTTACTCCTGATTGTCTTACGGTGCTGCCATTGGCAAGGTAAATTTGTTTATGGATATAAGAACTTGATGTGAGTGGAT